GTTTACTTCAGGGCCTCGAGGTAGCCTTTGGCTGCAGCCACGTGCAGCGGGGTGGCTCCAGTCTTTGGGTGTCGCACGTCAGCAGGCAGGCCCTCAGTCAGCCACGTGCGGGCGTCTGCCATGATTTGTTCCTCCTCCAGACGTTTAGCTGACTCCACGTCCACACCTGAACAAACACATAATGTCAAATTAACGTGTTTCCTGTTTTTTTTTTATGAATTTCTGTCTAAAGATTGGAGGACTTGTCATCCTAGCGTCTTAGCGCTAAAGATAAATCCTCAAGTGTCCAGCCTATAACTTTGAAATTAAGTCCCATTACCATCTAGGATGAACGCCATTTGCATACACGCATCACACATGAACAAAAAAGGCAACCACGAGAAACAAAGTTTCCATTTTTTTCACATTTTAGCCAGCACCACTAACAGAAACATGTATGGGCCATAACTGGGCCTCAAGTTTGAATGCAGTTGCAGCTGTTAAAGTTGCATTGATGAGAAATGAGTTGATTAAAGTTTCAGACACACAAACATACAAGTCACCCTCCAATAAAAAGCACAAATCATAACCATTCAACGTCCGCCTTTAAAAGGTGCCACTTTGTACTGTGAAACTCGGCTTCCAGCACTCCTGCTACATGCGGAGCTCTCCCAGGAAAGAAACATCACTGGATCTCCTCCGCTTTGCTAAATAAAAACATTTTAACTTTAGCTTCACTTTGCAGAGCCGAATTTGGTGACTGAGGAAGAAGAGGAAGATCTTTTGTGGGAAATGTTCTCCCTCTGAGAGTTTCAGAAGAACTAATGTTGTAAGTGTGATAGTAGTGGATGAATTAATAATGTCAGGAGAGCTTAATTGATGAAAATGCTTCTGGTTGCGCTCCTGACCTGATGCACCGACTTATTTTTTCTGTTTGGTTTGGATTGTAGCTGCAGAAGCAACATCTGTGACCAACAACATTCCTTAACATGAAGATGAGGTCATCTCCAGCCCGTTGATGGAGATGACCTTAGTTGTCAACATGGTGCTACTCAGTACATAAACTGTCACAAAACGTATGCAGCACATGCCACGCAAAATCCTGATCACAAAGCTCACTAATGGCACCTGCTGCATGCACGTGACCGTGTCTCACACCGTTTGGATGCAAAAGGAACAGCTCCAGAACTTTGATTGCACAAAGAAACGCCTTCCAACTACACACAGAAAAAGACTTACCGTGTCTCCGAGTGTAACTCTGAAGTAGGGACTCAGTGGTTTCATCCAGAGCAATGTCCGCAGGAACATCACCATCACAGTTCACAGCAGTGAGAGAGGCGCTTTCCTGCAGGAGGAACCTGACAAAACAAACATGGAGGTAAAGACGATTCATTTAACCTCAGAAGGCCAACACAATGACCTTTAAACAGACGACTTCTGGTCATGTTATCGGTGTTTGTGGCGCATGCACATTGGAACAAAACCATTAGTCACTGAAATGATAAAATGGAAAAAAGTTTTCTTTCTCTAAATGTGAGCTGTGTGTGTGCTGGCACAGCCCACTCATGCTTTATCTGCCAAACATGATAACAATGTTTGTATTGTTGACTGCAGAAAGACTGGCACTGAAGCTACACACACACAGAAGCAAAGCTGCTGTGTTCTGCTATTGTACACACTCTGTGATGTCAGCGTGGCCGCAGGAGGCAGCAACATGTAGCGCCGTCCATCCCTCATTGTCAACCTGGTTCACACTGGCACCCTGCTCCAAAAGGAAGGTCACCATTTCTATGCTGCCGTCTATGCAGGCCTGTGTCAAAGGAAAAAAAAAAAATTACGAAACTGCACAATTTTTTATTCACGAGCCAATAAAACCTCAGGGGGAGAAACTGCTTCACCTGGTGTAGAGCAGTGATCCCGTCTGCATTGGAGCAGTTAATAATTGCTGCTGTATCCTCGCCATTCCTTCTTTTAGTCTGTTTGGCCTCCTCCAAAATCACCTTGGCCTCCTCCGTGTCTCCGCTGGCACAGGCTGCGAGAAACTCAGCAGCAATGTCAAATTTCACCTTTTTCCTGTAAACGGAGGACACAGGCAGCTGCATGAATTCACTGTTCAGCTCTTATACACACCATACACACCAAACTCACAATGAAATACACGCTGTAAGGGAAACTATGATCGTTTCAAGTAAACCGAAATGTGTAGGTGCAAACTGAAAAATGAACAGTTACATGAATGTAACTGAACACTGCAACAAAAGAGACCTCAACAACTGAGCTAGGTGGTGTAAACACAGTGCACTGATCAACAGAAGGACACCACCTCTGTGAAACAAAATGTAGTGGGTGTTGATTGTACCAAGCTTTCTCATCAGGCCAAAATAAACTGTAAACTGTGCTGCTACTGTTATGGATTTGTGACTGGCTATATAAGCCATACGCAGCAACTTAAAACTGATGGCTTGTTGGGCCGATGCAGCCGGGAGGTTTTTGATTTTTTACAATTTTACGATCTACAAGAACTAAAAGAGTTGATTGAATGACAAGGTATGTCATAATAAATGTGCAGAAGGGGCGACTATAGTGAAATTAATGAATACAAGTCAGTTTTATACTTTCAGGACCCGCGCAAACCCTGACAGACCCTACAACTTATCCCTCACATCCTTGTAAGACTAACAGAGAAATACCCACTGAAAAACTTCCACAAGATTTCCTGGGGACTATTTTCAGGTGCGGATGAATAAAGTTATTGTCTGTATAGGCTTTTAGTCATCCAGATCAGGGTCATCTAAGGAGCTTGGAAAGAAAAGCGACTGGACTTCTTAAAGTTTCTTGAGAACGTTTCATCCCTCGTCCGACGAGTGTCTTCAGTTCTACAACACACAGCTGTAGGTCAAAACTGTGACACCTGATGGAGATAAATAATCCTTTCTGATCTTGAATCACCACTAAATCATTAACTGATGGGAAACGCTGCAACTTGGGATGTGTTTTGTCTTACTACTTTATTTCATCTACGGTCTCTGGTATGTATTGCGGTATATCACAAATCTAATAATGTTATATCAGAAACATTGTAACTAAACATCCTCCCCAAATTTCTGCGCCAAACTTTTGATCCTTTTTCTCCAGGATCTTTTGACAATGGCAACACATTTGTATTATATCAGCCTCAATTTGTTAAACAAATGTGCCTTCAATAAATGGCAAAGGCCTTTTTGTGTCTGTCATCATAAATACTGACCTTTGTTTCCATCGTCAATATTCATAATGTTGCATCATCTCAGACGGACAACTAGGCAATAACTACTCAAATACTATGATTAGCATTAGGTTCTTTAACTTGAAACTGGCTGATTAAAGGTCGTCTGGATAAAAACAACCACTGCAAATCGTATAAGTTATAGCAGGCTGGAAAAAAACGAAAGGAATTATGATATATGCGCTTTAAAATATGAGATTTTAGACCATCTCAGACCAGCAGTGGTGGGACTGATGGAAATAAAAACCTTCACCTAAGACACTTGGCTAGCTAGCTACCGCTCACTGCAAATTCCGGCCTCTGAAAGTATGCACGGCAACAAATAAACATTAAAATATTAAATAAAGGACTGTAGAGCGGGCGTGTTTTCTGCTGTGGTGTGATTCTATTATTTAGCCCATCTACAGCCCAAACCCCCGCACAGCATTCCTCCCTCAGCCTATCGTCAGATGTTGGAGCTAAGCTAGCAGGCTGTTAGCCGGTTTGACAGGAGATGTTTCCTGACCGTCGCCTCTCGTCTCCTCCCCCGAGTAGCGGCTGGTCCTTCGGCGGGTCGTCGAGCTCGGCCTCGGGCTCCCCTCCTCCGTTCCCGGCATCGCCCTGCCGCCTCAGCCTGGGCACATCTGAGGCTCTGTCGGTGGAGGAGCCGGCCCAGCGCTTCAGCTGCTCCCGCCGCTTGGTCCTCGCGTCTCCCATTTATGCGTCCGCGGAGGACCGTGTTTTTAAAAATAAAACACACACAGAGGCAACAGCGGCGGACACTCCCTCCATGTGTATGCTTTCACTTCCTGGTTCTCTAGCTCCGGGCTCCGTTCTGTGTAGTAGAAAGAGCCTTGGCTCGTGCCCGCGGGCACAAGGAACGCGCAGAGCTGTGCAGGCCTGCCCCCGTGACGTCACCACCGCTGGTTTCGTTTGCAGCAGGCCCTGGAAAGGAAATACAGAAATAGTTTAATGCTTGGGTACTGTGCATAGCTGCTGCTGCACTTCCTGACATTGTGCTTTCTCATAGTCCGTTTTAGCCTAATGCTTACTTAACAGTGAGAGGACAAATACTAGAAGCGCTAGAAACACTATGCACGTCACAATTCACACCATCTCAGTTCTATTTAAAAAGCACCAGTTTGTAAAAAGCCACCTCAAAATACTCATTCCAGCAATGTTAGGACCCAATCAGCCATCCCCTATGAGCAAGCACTCTGTGATGATCGGAAGGAAAAAGTCTCTTTTAACAGGAAGAGACCTTTCGTATAACCAGGTTTAAAAAGGAGTTCATAGAGACAAAAACACAAGAACAAAATACAGAAATTACATACAAACACAGAGGAAGTAAAAAGAGGTGAGTGGAGAAGAAATAGAAATCTTAGCTAGCCCCCCCCAACTATGAGCTTTATGTAAAGATTTAAGCCTGATTTTAAATTAGAGAGGGTGCCCTGAATTCAAACTGGGACCACAGTAGAGGGGTCTGATAGCTGAAGGCTCTGCATTTTACGCTCTCTACTTTTAGAAACTCTAGAAACCAGAAGTAAGCCTACACTTTGAAAAGTGAAGGCAAGGCAA